TGTTGAAAGTTAAACCAAGCAGGAATCCAAAGCTACTTTTGTAAGAGCATGCTGTCGGGTGGAATATTTTGTTTATTGGCTCAATGAGCTACTGTTATTTCACCCATGCTGTCGGTTGTTGTCCCAATAGAACTTTTCTCTTTTGACTAAAAGTTTGTCTCTCAAAGAGACGTTGGTCTCTTGTTTTGTAATGAGAGAGTTGTAGTAAAAATCTATTATCATTGAATGCGAACTCGGCTAGCAGTAAGCTAGAGTCTTCTTCCTTCTATTCTCTTCCGTGTCTGTGAGTTTTTACTTGCTTGCTGTGTTATTTGGTTTGCTTGTCTTGAGTTAGCTGCCGTGAGTTTTTAGTTTGTTCTACACCACATAATATAAAAAAACTCCCTTAATGCACTCTGAACCCTACGCTTTCTTCTCATCCTCATCGGCCACAACCGAATAACGCTTTCCGGCCACCATTCTAAGAATCACGTTCAAAGTCATGTCCTCAAACCACTGCTTCAACTCCACCAAAACTCCGTCCCTATTATTGCTCTCCCTTTTCTCCGCGGTGCTCCAAGTTTTGTAATATTCTTGCAAGAAAGTTGTCACTTCAGAGACTCGAATGTGTCTGAGCAGCTCAAGCCTTCGGTTCGAGAGCAGCTCCAAGGTGGTCATCTTGCGCAGCTCTTGCCAGTAGGATCCGGAGGGTGCAAACCCAAACATGTCATAGTTATAGCCAATGTGATCCACAACCGCGAGCTTTGGACGCGAGTTTAAGACCAAGTCATCGGTTGTGAAGCATTCTTTTGCGATCTCACAACTGCATATCACCAGAGATGGATAGACGCCGAGGCGAATGGTGAAGAGAGGCCCGTACTTGTCAGCCATGGCTGCCAATGTGATGTGAGTAGGTGTGGATCCTCCTAGCAAGGGAAGGTGGCCAAATATCGGCCATGCACCCTTGGCTTCAGTTGGGGCTAATTTGGCAGCTCTCCATCTGCGTGAGAAGTAATAGGAAACGATGATGATTGTAAATAAAAAAGCAGTGATAGAGTTTACATAAGGGAGAGAATAATCCATTGAAACTAATTGGTAATTGGAAACTTAGAAAGCTAGAGAATGAATGCCCTGTCACACATATTATGTAGGCGTGATATCTATGCTCATATATATATCGATACCACCTCATGAGGATATAACATAATATTATTTTTATAGATAAAATTCTACGTTAAGGAAGTAATGCATTGATCACGTCAAAAGTAACATTATCATATGACTATTTTTTTTTTTTCTTATCAACATCAGAAAATTGAAAATAATCAAAATACCGGTTAAAAGTTTATAATGTATCTTTTAACCAGTTGGAATTGTATAACGGACATGTGAAACAAAAATTAAAAAAAGAAATTCTGTGTGCATGAATTTAATTTGTGTTTCTACGTCTTTATAATTTTGTAAACTAAATAACAAAATTACATATTACTTAAGTAGAGTAGATACAATTAATTTATGCATTTCATTTGTCAATCTTTTTCTTTTTTTGTTTGGATGAACTGAGAATAAATAGGGCGAAAAAGCAATGAAGTACTTAACAATAGGAATATGAAATTCAAATGTAAGACTCCCGTCAATCAACGAACATGCTTTTGACTCTTAATTAGTGCTAAGCAGGACAAAGATGAGAGAGTTAGTCAAATTATCTAATTAAAGGGTGACGTATGCATTTCAGGTGGCTCAAGATTATTCTGCAAGGTGAGCTCCATATAAAGATCTCCTTTACTTTACGTGCCAAATTTCAACGGTGGATGGTGAATTCTGATAATGGTAATGGAGGGCAAGGCACGGCACGGCACCGCAGCCATATCTTAAAAACGATGCGTTTAGTTTGTCTTCTAGCATGCTGTGAAGATTATTCAAACTTCAACGTCACGTGGCAGACAAGTCTAATTATTACGTTTTGTGGATGTTACTTTCCACATTTGGAGCAGGTATGCATCTCAAAGACTAAAGGCTTAATCCACTATGAACATTCGATTGACTTAATATTAATTATATCAAATGGCTGGACCTTAATCTTCAGCAGGTAATAATTAAGATATGATTTCCGCGTCTCTGATTTTGAGTGACCAAAAAAGTATCCAATGGGCGGGGTTATTGGCTTGTATCCAAAAGCCTCACATATATGAAGTGATTAATCATCTTTTGTTTCGATTTCAAACCTAAAGTAAATTGCATGACTTGAAGAGCGAGAGAGATTCCTGATTATATCATTGTATTTGTTATACTTGGAAGGACCCTAATGTCATTAATTTGGACTCACCTGCTTCATTTTCATTTTGCAACTTAATTTTATTGGTTCAACTTATCGGCAGCAAAAAAATGATTTTCACTGGTTAAAGGGGTGATGTCTGCTTCCCAACTTTACCTGCTTCATTTCCATACGCATGCATGCAGGATGGTGATGGTGATGGTAATGATGGAGGGTGGTGGGGCAGTCTCACATGAAAAACTATGTATCTAATTTGTTTGCTACTGCTACACAGTCTATTCCTTTCCAAGAATAGAATTTGTCCATCTCATTTTTGTAGATTTATATCAAAAGGCTGGACCATCAAGTAAGATAAGATTATATACATGTATGACATGTGTTCCTTATTTGGATCATATCAAAAGTAGAGGAATTTATAAACTGAAACTGTGAATATATATATATGCATATGTGCATTTTATTCTCACATATAGCTAAATTCTCACTCTCAACTATTTAATCATAAAAATTAGGAGACAAGCGTGGTTTGACGAGGACATCAAGGGGAGTCAGTTTCATATTCGTAAGTCCAATACTTCCATTCATATCAACCGGTTCATTTTCTTGAGTCGTGACATCAAACGAATGAAGAAAACTAGCCAAAGTTAAAAGTGTCATCTTAAGGCCAATACTTATCCCAGGGCATGCTCTTCTACCACTGCCAAACGGCATCAGCTCAAATTGCTGACCCCAAACATCAACATCCTTATGGGTAGTGAGAAATCTCTCTGGCTTGAACTCCATCGGGTTGGCCCAAACCCGTGGATCAGTTTGGATCTTCCACAGGTTCACTAAGAGCCACGTGCCTTTTGGAACATGGTACCCTCCTACGGTACAGTCTTCTGTGAACTCCCTTTGGCCTGAGAGTGGTCCAGCTGGGCATAAACGCATTGCTTCTTTAATAGTGGCCTGCAGGTACACCAGATTATTTATATCTGACTCATCCAACTGTCTTCCTTTGCCAACATGTTGATCAAGTTCTTCATAAACTTTCTTCAAAACTTGACGGTTGTTCAAAAGCAAAGAGAGTGCCCACGTCAGGGTCACCATGGTTGTTTCACTCCCTCCAGCTATCAAACTCTGCACAATCAAAATTTTGGTAATTAATAAAACAAATTTAGCCAATGACCATTTGGTTTAGCAGCATCCAGTATCGACTTTGTTGGACCAGGTGCTGAGTTGACATATGACGGACAAAGGTCGTAAAAAAAATTAAAATAAATTAACATATATACCAAACATGTTGCTTTGATGACGGTATCAGCATCGAAGCCAGCAACATCTGCTCCATCGATGGCTGAAAGCATCACATCCATGAAATCTTGATCTTTTCCTTTAGTTCTTTTCTGCTTGTGCTCCTCCAACCATTCCGTAACAATAATGTCCAATTCTTTGGCAGTTTTCTTCATGGCCTTCTGCTGTCCACCCAAATCCAACCAACTAAGCCAAGGAACAGCATCTCCCAACACAAACAATCCCACCAAAAGAAAGAACTCTCTCATGGATTTTTGCCACCGCCTTGCCTCCTCCTCCTCACTCAAACTCCCATTCATAAAGCATCTCTTTCCAGCAACCATCCTAAAAATCACATTTAGAGTCAAATCCCCAAACCACTGCTTCATCTCCACTAAAAGCTCCCCCGAGCTTTCTTTTCTTTTGGTCCATAAAGTGTACAGCTCTTTCAAACTCATCTCCACTTCTGATACTCGAACTTTTTTCAGTAGCTCAAGCCTGCGGTTTGAGAGTAGCTCGAGGGATGTGAGCTTGCGAATTTCGCGCCAGTATGGACCGTAGGGGGTAAACCCGAACATGGCAAAGTTGTAGCCCAAGTGCTTAGCTCCTAGCGTAGCCGGACGGGAGGAAACAACTATGTCGTTTGTGGTGAAGCAATCCTTGGCCGCCTCCCAAGTACTTATCACCAGAGCAGAGTGGATACCAATGTTGATGGTGAAGGTTGGTCCATACTTGTCAACCAAGGAAGCCAAAGCTATGTGAGGAAGCTGAGATCCACTGAATAGGCCAAGATGACCTAACAGAGGCCACCCGCCTGCAACTTTTGGTAGTTTAGGACCCTTGGCTTTGGCAGCTGAGCTTGATCTCTTTATGATAAAGTAGGAAAATAAAAGTATGGCTAAGATTCCAGCTATTGCAGTGTTTAGGCATGGGAGATACAACTCCATCGTTGCAAAGGGAAGGTTGAGGGTGGCTGTCACTTCTGCAGTAGTTCTTATTTATAGTCGATATCAGTGTTTTTTCTTCGTGGGACATTCAGGCCAGCGTTCATAAGTTTGTTTTGAAAGAGGGCCAATGAGGATTATTTTCTATAAGATAATTCATATTTTCAGAAATACATTTGACTCATTCAATATAATAATTGATGCGTACGTAGGAAGCAAACTGCGAATTTTCTGTCACTACTTTGGGAAAATTCTGATCAGACAAGAAAATGGGTTATTTTAATAGAATTTGACGTCATCGCTGCAATTGGGAAAAGTACCCCTGAGGTGATGAAATAACCTTCATATTGAAGATTATCTGTTGACCGTTTGATACTTAAACTTATCTCCTTTGACCAAAAAAAAATATTTAAACTTATCTCCTTTGACAAAAAACCAATATATTTAAACTTATCAAAGACCCTGTTTTTTTAATTTTCCTAGAAGATAACATCAACTTAATATTAAGCAGTACTATATCCTTCCAAAATTGCTTTTGCAATAAGCAATTTCACTTTTGCCTTTCTTGAGCTCAGCAATTAAATTATCAATCTGCATTAAAAGTCTCTGTTTGTGCCTGATAAATCACGGCCATAAGTTGGCCGAAGGAGCCCTTTTTCTCGGCCCTGGCACTTGTTCGTAAAAACTGAAACGCAGCGTTTCGCCAGGGTACTTCGCCTTCCTAAAGACAAAAGAAGAAATGCTAAGGCATGATGATCTCGGCTTCAAGCGCAGGCCGAGGCCGAGGCCAAGCAAAATCGCGGCCAGAAATATTAAAGTCAGATCATCACGTGATAGCAGGGACCCAGGCTTCATTTAATGAAGTAGTGCCTGTTTAATGCAGCAAACCCACTGGCCACAAAGAAGCATTTAATGCATGAGGGAAGGTGGGAAGTGACTGAAGTCAGGATTTGGTGATGAGGATCAGAGTGATTAGACGTGGACATTCTCACAAGAATTCTGACAGCCTCAGGCAATAAATGCGTCTCCACGGCCAGAGGTTCAAAACCCACGATTGAGCGCGGCGGCCGAGATTCACCAGGATTTCTGGGGTCTCATCACCATACTTCACGATCCCAAATGTCGATTGGACTGCCCACTTGCGCTAATCAGACTCCACTACGCGTAAATTCAGCCTCGATTACTCCTCCAGAGACTCTTCCTATAAATACAAGACTCGAACTACATTCAAAGGGTTCAACACCAAAACAAAGCCGCCCACGGAGCAACTTATTTTTTACTGTACTGCACTTTCAATATCTTTACTTGCTTTCCTAGGAGTAGTGTTAGATTGTAAGGAAAATCCATTCATCAATATATCATACAGCCCTTGATTTTCAAGGCGCCGGAGCACCATCCTTGTTGTTCGTTCACTCACCCCATATATCACATGACCGTCGCTCCCTGAGCAGCGCGCCGGAGCACCGCCCAAAACCCACCACCAACACCATCACTCAACGGCCTTGTAGTTCAGGCCGTGAACCTAACAGCCGAGACCAGTTCCTCTCTCGGCTACAATCGTTTGATTAGGAAGACAGTTCAAACAGGCGCACCACTTATCCATCCAACACTCATCAACACATCAACGCACGGTAGACCGTACTGGCACGCCCGCGCACAACCGCACCGCACCCAAAAGTAAGAAACCGCGTGTTAACGCACATCCCCTCGGCCCGGAACTCCAGGCCGTGAGATTTGCGCGGCAGACAGTCTCTCAAAACCAAAAGGAGACAAACATGCCAATTAGTACTAAGAAATAAGATTCCATGTTATTATTCCCCTCAAACTTTCACCCAAGTGTCTATTTCCCCACTTTAGATTTTTATTCCTTACTCAAACACTTCATCACATATAGAGCTTAATTACCAGGAAGGCGTGGGGTGAGCACAACTTCTAATGGAGTCGCTTTCGGAATGGTCAAACCTGGACTCTCGGTCATGTCAATCCGTTGACCCAGCGGGGTTTCAAACTGAAATGCATGAAGAAGACGAGCAAGAATGAGGTAGCCGGCTACAGTGCAATCTTTCAGAGCTTCTCTTGGTCCCAAGAGGTGCCCTGCTGGGTATAAACGCAGCGTTTCCTTGATGATGGCTTGAAGATATACCAAGTTTTTAATGTCGGATTCGTCAAACTTGATTTTCTGTTCCAACTGAAAATAATAGTAAAAGAAGAAGAAGTAGAGAGAACTGTGGTGAAAATATTCTCCATCGGTGCAATGAAATCAACATATATTCATAATTCCATACGCGTGCATAGGGTGTTGATAATGCAGCCTCGCATGAAAAACTACACATTTAGGGCCCCTTTGATAACCATTTCAGTTTTCAGTCTTTAGTTTTTAATTTCTATGTTTCAGTTTTCATTTTAAAAAAATTAAAAATTAAAAACTTATTTGGTAACTAATTTCAATTTTCAAAACAAGTGAAAACTGAACAAAAGTTGTTTGGTAATTGATTCAGTTTTATGTGGAACTTGAAAATGGAATTTTTGGAGGTCAAATTGTGAATTTCATATCGTGGAATGAAAGTGCATGTTACAAAGAGTTTGTAGTATTTTTCAGTGAATTTTTTGGATTTAGGATGATTTTTTGGTGAATTTTGGATTTGGAGGTTCCGAGGCTTGGATTGGGTATGTTGCCGAACTCAAGAATTGAGCGACCGGGTCCAAGTGGGGAGGTCCCAAATATTGAGTTTTGGTAATTAGAGTGCATTTCATGTGTGATGATGTAAAAATAGTGAATGAAAAAGGAGAGAAAAAAAAAGGAAAAAGAAAACTAAAAACTAAAAATACTTTCAAGTTGTTTTAGAAAATAAGGGTGATTTTGAAAACTATATTTCACTTTTTCGTAAACTGAAAATAAAATCTGTTACCAAACATGTTTTCAGTTTTGAATTTTCAATTTTCAAAAAAAATGAAAATGAAAACTGAAAACTAAAAGTGAAATGGTTATCAAACAACCCTTAGGGCCCGTTTGATAACCATTTCAGTTTTTAATTTTTCATTTTTTTTAAAATTAAAAATTGAATACTTGTTTGGAAACTAATTGCAGTTTTCAAACAAAGTGAAGAATAGTGAAAATGAAACAAAAGTTGTTTGGTAATTAATTTCAGTTTTATGTGGAACTTGAAATTGGAATTTTTTGGGGTCGAAATGTGAATTTCATATCGTAGAATGAAAGTGCATGTTACAAATAGTTTTTAGTATTTTTTGGTGAATTATTTTGAATTAGGATGATTTTTTTGGTGAATTTTGGATTTGGAGGTTCCGAGGCTTGGATTAGGTTTGTTTCCAAACACAAAAACCGAGCAGCCGAGTCTAAGTCGGGAGGTCCCAAATACTGAGTTCTGATAACTAGAATACATTTCATGTGTGGTGATGTAAAAATAGTGAATGAAAAAGGAGAACAAAAAAAATATAAACGAAAATGAAAACACTTTTACGTTGTCTTAAAAAATAAGGGTGATTTTGAAAACTATATTTCAATTTTTTAAAAATTGAAAATGAAATTTGTTACCAAACATGTTTTCAGTTTTCAGTTTTGTAAGTGCATGGATTTTTTATTTTGCTTTTGACTTCCCTTGACAATTTTGTAATAGGACAATCATTGTATTTTCTCAAGCTCTAGTCTAGATTAAGAATTACATCTCTAGGTATGCTTAATTGGCTACATTATGATGGACAACAATGGGTTTGACAAAAGGTAAATTTTGCATTGCATTACATTGTGGCACTTATGATGGCACTTACATCTCTAGGTATGCTTAATTGGCTACATTATGATGGACAACCTACTCTATGGCACTTATGACTCGATTAGGCTTGGATACTCACATAACTCGACCTAGCATTTTATGATTAGTGTTTCAATTTCAATGTACAACGTAACCGTACCTAATCCTAGTTAGTTGTGTACGCCTTAATGTAGATTTGAACAAGTAGTTTGTTGTCGGAATCCCAATACCTCCCATTATAATGAGTTCCAGCTATTAGCTTTCTCAATCACTCTTTCTGACTTTAGTGTTCCAAAGTGATAGGCCACTCCATAAATGCGTTTTGAATCTAATTTTCCATGTCCTAAAAAAATTATTGCTGATATTTATTACTCTTTTTAACCCCTAACAAAAACATAACTCTCCTCCCATGTTTCTTCTAGGGTTAAAGTCTGAGAAATATATATGAGAGAGGGAAAGAGAGTCAACTCACAACTACTACTCAATCACACTAAAATACATTTAAAAAAAAAGGAAATAGCTATACTCTTATAATATATTCAAAATATTTAAATAGTATAGCCACGCGGCTATACTCTTTAAATATGTTTGCATATTTAATTTTTATTTTTATTTTTATTTATTCGAATACACCTATTTTATGGACTTTAAAAAATATATATTCTTACAAATTAGTTTGTTTAGTTTAATATTTGTAATTACACCAGATACTTTTGGACTTTATCTCAAAAAGTTTCTTATGATTTTGCTCACGTTAGTTAGTTGACATATATATCATTGTATCTGTTATACTTTGAAGGACCCTAATGTCACCAACTTGGACTCCCGAATGGGTGGATCGTATATATTCATGTTGAATTTAGATAAAGAAGGAGATTATCCATTTTGCGACTCATGAATTTGATTGTTTGAACTATGATTGGCTAGCAAAAAAAGTTTTTCACTGGTTAAAGGGCTGACGTCCGCGTTTGAGGTGGAACATCGACATATTTATGTCCACAGCTTTTTCTTAGTCAATTCTTCTCCGAGAGAATAACATTTGTCCATGTACATGCATCTCATATGCATATCTACGGTCCTTATTTCGTTTGACAATCAAAATTTCGTTTGACTCTCTCTCTCTCTCTCTCTCTCTATATATATATCCTGTCTAGTTTCCCTAGCGCTATACCAAGTTTTATGTTTTGCCATGGGAAGGCTGGTCCTGTTCTCTCTTGATTAATTTTCTTCTTGTTCATCTCTATTACTATTTCGATCGTGCATGTATGTTTTAACTAAAAAGTGGAACCCATTTGTCAAAACTAGAGGAAACCAAACTTTTTTAGATTAATACGTTCAGAACATGAACATATGCATATGTACTTTTCACATATATCTAAGTTCTCAATTCTGAACTTATTCATAAAGATTTGGAGACAAGCGTGGTTTGACGAGGACATCAAGAGGGGTGAGTTTCATGTTCGTAAGTCCAACGCTTCCGGTCATATCAACCGGTGCATTTCCTCGGGTCTTGACATCAAACCAATGAAGAAAACTAGCCAAAGTTAAAAGCGTCGTCTGAAGGCCAAGATTTATCCCAGGGCATGCTCTTCTACCACTACCAAACGGCATGAGCTCAAATTGTTGACCCCGAACATCAACATCCTTATGGGTGGTCAGAAATCTCTCTGGTTTGAATTCCATCGGGTCGGCCCAAACCCGTGGGTCAGTTTGGATCTTCCACAGGTTCACTAACAACCACGTGCCTTTTGGAACATGGTACCCTCCTACAGTACAGTCCTCTGTGAATTCCCTCTGGAATGAGAGTGGTCCAGGAGGACATAAACGCATTGCTTCTTTAACAGTGGCTTGCATGTACACCAGATTATTTATATCTGACTCATTCAGCAGTCTTCCTTTGCCAACATGCTGGTCTAGTTCTTCATAAACTTTCTTCAAAATTTGGCGGTTGTTCAAAAGCAAAGAGAGTGTCCACGTAAGTGTCACCCTGGTTGTGTCACTCCCTCCAGAAATCATAGCCTGCACAATCAAAATTTTGGTGATTAATAAAATAAATATATTCTATGACCATTTGGTTTAGCAACTCCGTTGAATGAGGCACTGAGTTTAAATATGATGGACAAAGGTCGTTGTAGCAAAAAAAAAAAAAGGTATATATATATACCAAACACGTTGCTTTGATGACGGTATCAGCATCAAACCCAGCAATATGTGCTCCATCGATGGCTGAAAGCATGACATCCATGAAATCTTGATCTTTTCCTTTAGTTATTTTCTGCTTGTGCTCCTCCAACCATTCTGAAACAATATTGTCCAGTTCTTCGGCAGTTCTCTTCATGGCCTTCTGCTGTCCACCCAAATCCAACCAACTAAGCCAAGGAACAGCATCTCCCAACACAAACAATCCCACCCAATGAAAAAACTCCCTCATGGCTTTTTGCCTCCGCCTTGCCTCCTTGTCCTCACTCAAACCCCCATTCATAAAACATCTCTTTCCAGCAACCATCCTAAAAACCACATTTAGAGTCAAACCTCCAAACCACTGCTTCATCTCCACCATAAGCTCCCCAGACCCTTCTTTTCTCTTGCTCCATAGAGTGTACAGCTGTTTTAAGCTTATCTCTACTTCAGATGCTCGAACGTTTTTCAGTAGCTCTAGCCTGCGGTTTGAGAGTAGCTCGAGGGATGTCAGTTTTCGCATTTCGCGCCAGTATGAACCGTAGGGGCTAAACCCGAACATGGCAAAGTTGTAGCTCAAATGCTTACCCCCTATCGTAGCGGGACGAGAAGAAACAACTATATCGTTTGTGGTGAAGCAATCCTTGGCCGCCTCCCAAGTACTTATCACCAGAGCAGAGTGGATGCCAATGTTAACGGTGAAGATTGGTCCATATTTGTCAACCAAGGAAGCCAAAGTTATGTGAGGCAGCTGAGTTCCTCCGAACAGGTAGAGGTGACCTAACAGAGGCCACCCACCTCCCACTTTTGGTGGTTTGGGACCCTTGGCTTTGGCACCAAAGCATGATCTCTTCATCATAAAGTAGGAAAACAGAAGTATGGCTAAGATTCCAACTATGGTGGTGTTTAGGCATGGGAGATACAACTTCATTGTTGCAAAAGGGAAGGTTGAGGGTATTGCCGGACCCATGAATTTTTCCGGGGAGAGGCACTATTTAAAAAGCTAAAAGTATATGAGGGAAATCCAAGTGCAAGGAGTCCATGAACTACATTAATCAACAGGAAGAGAGAAACTTTGAATAAATAAACGTGAAATCTGCATAAAACAAAATTAAATTATAAGTTGAGAAACTAAGGAATGACATATGCCAAATAAGAGATTAAAGCTCATGGATATTTATTAAATAGATATACACCATTAAGGGAATTTTGGGAGACACAAGTTTATGTGAAGCAGAAATAAAATTGAATATTACAAAGTCTCTTTGAGATAATTAATCACACACATGATAGGCACCAGTTGAGAGGCAAATTCCAACCACTTCAAAGAAATTTTCGGAATGTAGGTCCCCAGTGGTTGAGGGTAGCTATCCATTGTTGCAAACTCGATGTCGATTTCTCAATTATTCACTTCTTGGAAAATAATAATTGATGCCTTAGGAAAGAGGAGCAATGATGGAGGATTATTTTCTATAAGATAATTAATATTTTAAGAAATACTTTTGACTTTCAATATAATAATTGATGCCTAAAAAGCAAAACTGCGAAGTTTTATGAAGAAAAATTCAAATCAGACAAGAAACATCATCGCTCCAATTAGGAAAAGTATACCATGGTTGAAATATTTCTATTTCTATTCCTAGGGGCGTCGAACCCTTAAAGTCTGAGCCCAAGCTTACTTTTTCACTGAGGTGATGAAATAACCTTCATGATTGAGATTCGACCAAAAAAAATTCCCTTACGATTGAGAATTATCTTTTATCCGTTTGATACTAAAAATGTGTCCAATCAATGTTGTAAAGCTAGTGGGTGGAGGTGGAGCTCACAAAGAAAAGAAGAAGATTATGTTGGATACTTGTCTGCCAATTCCTTCCATGCATTCCCTCAAAGCCTTTTACATAGGCGAAAATGTTACTGATGGTGCTTTCTGAGGACGTAGGTATAATTTGTCGAGCCTTGTTAAATATTGTATCTCATTTATTTTATATGCAGCTTTATATTCCTATAGTCATACCTATTAAGACGCAAGGAGGTGCATCTGCACTTCCTCCCGCCAAAAAAACCATTGTAAGTGCTTTAAATTGCCATTTTGCTTAGTTGGTGCTGGTGCACTCCAGATATACAGATTACCTTTTTTTTATATTACTCAATTTACTTAAGTTTACAATGTAAATAAGGAAGTACCCATAATTTGGATTCAAATAAAAATACTAGAAAATTAAATTCCCACCAAATCAAAATATGAAAAATCGGTTTTAGTGCAAAATACGATTTAGGCTAAAAATGATGGTTCCTTAATTCAATATATACTTCATAATAAAATCTCATAAAATCAAGTTTTCTTATTTGATGGGTAAGGAATAAAAGCCGCCAAAAAATTTCTTGGGAAAATGATTATTCCGAAAAACTATTTTTCATACTTAGTCAATATGTTTACATAAAACAATTTTTCATGTATGATATGAATGCATAAAGGGACCTAAGGTCAATCTAGGTAAAAAGCCTTAGATGTTCAAGCGACAAAGAGTTTTTAGCCTTTTAAATTTGCACCTCCGCTAAAAGTTCATGGATCTTCCACTACCCATACATTTTAGTTTATTTACGACATCAAGTTGTTTTGAAAAGGATTCATATTAGCTATGCCTAGTATTGAAACTTATCCGATGCTGTGTGTTTTTTTTTTTCTCTAGAAGATAACATCAACCTGATAGCAGTCATATATCCTGCCAAAATTGCTTTTGCTATAAATCACTTTCAGTTTTGCTTTTCTTGGAGGAGTTCAGCACTAAAGTCTGTCAAGAGATGAAAAAACAAAACAATTAGGAGACTAGACGAGTATGTCAGATATAAATAAAAAACATACCAATTAGTACTAAAAAAATGAATTGAATATTCCATTATACAGTATAGTAAACTGTCATTATTCCGCATAAACTTTCACCCAGTGTCAATTTCCCCCATAAACTTTTTTTCTTGTAAATTAAAGACCTTTTTTTTTTATTTTTTATATATCGAAATGATACTTACATTAAGCTAGAAGGCAAGGCAAAAACAAGGATACAACAAGGAAAAGGAACACCAAAGCCAGAATCAGTCTGGTACAAAAAGAAGTTACCAGACCTGGACTAAAACAAAAGGAAACAAGGAAATTACATTGGTGGCCCAGGAAGGCCATCAGAAGTTAGAACCCGAACAATAGAAGGTGGTGGACAATCAGTCTAGTGTGTTACACCCACCGTCTGCAATCCAATCTTGGCAGCCACATGCTCTGCTTGATTTTGGTTTCGAGGGATCCATGGCCACTCCACAGAATCAAAGAGGAGTGATCTTCTCCTCATTGCCTTGATAAGAGGAAGGATGGTCCAAGTGTCGCTGCCCATATTACCTTTAAGACTATTGATCAAGATACGGGAGTCAGATTCGAATATGACTTTACGATCTCCCAAGTCCTAGGCCATTGAAATTCCAAACAGGGCCGCTTCTGCTTCAGCACATAGAGCAGAGCATATAGTTTTCTTTGCTGCAAGTCCTCCACCAAAATGGCCATAGGCAGTCTTTCTGATCACTCCAAGACCCGTCGAGCACGAAGCAGCAAGCCAAGCTCCATCAAAACTTACTTTGGTATGGTCTGTGATTAGAGATAGAGTGTTTCCAACAAAGTTACAGGGGGGGGAGAGTTATGGGAATCATGCTGAGGTAATTTTTGGTGGCAGACTTAAAAACATGAGCAGCAGCAGTGATAGTTCTTATAGGATCCAAAGGTTTGTTTTAAAAAATGAAGTTGCAACGGGGCTTCCAAATTTCCCATAATACGAAGCATACCATAGACAAGAACCAAGCCGAGTTATTGAAAGAGCCATGATTTTCCATTAAACTTTGGATCCATTTGTCAAAATGGTGATGCTTTGTCTGTTGAGCACATAGTTTAAAGGGGAACCGAACCACACAGCTTGAGCCCAGAGGCATAATAAAATCATGTGCTCAATGGATTCATCTTCCAAGTCACATATTGGGCAAATTGGAGAGACCGAGATCAATTTTTTGTAAAGAGAAAGTTTAGTGGATATGGACTTGTTGAGAAGACGCCAGCAGAAGAACTTGATTTTTGGCAGGGTTTTAATCTTCCAAATCCCTTTCCACACTATAGAGTGCACACAGTGGGAGGAGTTGGCTGGAAGGGTGGAGATAGCCATTGTCTCAGAGTGCAAGTAATGGTATTCAGATTTGACGGAATAGTGACCATCACTACTCCAAGGCCAAACAAAACGGTCGGCCGTAGATGAAGCACCAATTGGGATTTTGTTGATTGCCTCTATAGTGTTTTGATAAATGAAGGGTCTAACTCTAATATCATCAAGGTTCCATGCATGATTGTGAGAATCCATGATATCACAAACCAACTGAGGAATAGTATCAGGAATTTGGCATGTGGCCTGAATAAAACCCACATGAGGAGGGGGTGAACCATCAATCATTCCATATGCATATATCATTTCCACTAAAGATCTGTTTTCTTGCATTAGAGATTAGAAAATCACGACCAACAATTAAGCTTGCCCAAGCCCACGAAGCTCGGTGGCCAGCCTTGGCTTGCAAGAATTCTTCCAATGGGAAGTAACGACCCTTTAAAACTAGCACCCAGTAAGCATTTGGATTATTCAGTATTCGCCAACTTTGTTTACCTAGTAGAGCCAAGTTGAATTCTGCTAGATCTCTGAAACCCAAGCCCCCTCTTGCTTACTTTAGTACAAGTGCTTCCAAGATTTCCAATGAATTCCAGTATTAGATTGAAAGTTACGCCACCAAAATTTTGCCATATCACTGTTAATATCTTTGCAGAGAGTTGTGGGGAATCTGAAACACATCATAGAATATGTGGGGATAGCCGTTGCCACAACTTTAAGAAGGATCTCTTTACCAGTAATTGAGAGAGGATTATCTTTCCACCCCATTATCTTCTTTTGAATTCTTTCTCCAATAAAAGATAAGCCAATTTTTTTTATCTGCCCATAACATAGGTAGGCCAAGATAAGTACCAGGATTTTCGGCTCCCCTAATACCTAACAAATGACAAATGCCGGCTTTGTGATCGTCAGGTGTGTTTGAGCTGAAAAACATATTTGACTTCTCGAGGTTAATTAGTTGGCCTGAAGCATGGCAGTATATGTCCAAAACTTCCTTAAGACGAATACAATTCATCCTCTCTGCTCAGAAGAACAGAAGAGAATCATCTGCAAAGAAGATATGCGAGAGGGGGGACCAGATCTTGCAATTTTTACACCTCGGATATAACCGGTTTCAAGACACCTGTTTAGGTTAATAGATAAAATCTCACACATGATTAAGAACAGGAATGGTGAGAGAGGATCACCCTGCGTAATCCCTCAGGTAGGAGTGAAAGACTTGCCAGGCTTACCATTTAAGAGGACAGAGAATGAGATAGTAGTTATGCATCCCATGACTAGGCGAATCCAGAAGTCAGCAAAACCCATCTTTGAAATTGCCAATCTCAAAAAGTCCCATTCAACATGATCAAAAGCCTTGTTCATATCCATCCTAAGACCCGCTTCAAAGCAGTTTTCTTTTTTTCTTTTTTCTTTTTGTTCTGAGGTTATGGAAAGCCTCATGAGCCAGAATGATATTATCTTGTATTTGTCTTTCCTGTAAAAATATGTTTTGGTTCTCAGAAATAATCAAAGGTAGAATGGACTTAAGACAATTGGCTAAGATCTTGGAGAGAATCTTATAAGAACTGTTACAGAGACTAATTGGTCTGAATTGGTTTGCTTGGTCTGGGGCAGCCACCTTAGGAAAAGCGATGTGAGTTTGATTTAAATCTTGAAGATTGGAGAGGTTGTGATACATATCCTTTGCTGTTCCAATCACTTCCTCCTTCATTGTACTCCAGAACCTAAGGTAAAAAAATACTTGGAAAACCGTCTGGGCCTGGGGCTTTAAGGGCTCCCAATTGTTTAGAAGCAGCAAGGATTTCATCTTCAGTGAAAGGGGCAGTGAGATTTTCATTCATTTCCTGAGTGATAACCAGCTACACATGCCCAAAGATGTTTCCCCAATCTCTCTCACCTGAGGAAGTAAAAAGGTTTTCAAAATACCTTTTAAGCTCAGCCCCAACAAGGTTTTCCCCACAGAGTCA